CAGCAAATCAATTTTTCCCCCTTACTGTCCTCAGTCTGCCTTTTCAGGATATTTTTAGTTGCTCTGATTAAAAATTTACCTCTTAAGTACACTGAGGACACAGTGCATGTCTAGATTACAATTTTGTATAACTTTTTCAGTCTACCTGTGTATCTTCCTTGCAAAGGAAGATATGGAGCCGTATCTTTCCTTACTTTCCCTATCTTTCTAACAAAACAGAAATATTAGTAACTAACTTTGAAAGACCAACAGGAAAATAACTTCACAGCAAAATGCAGAAAATACATCTTCAGAAGGAAGATGTGAGGCCATCACATGTCATGGGATTACACAAGATCCCTTACACTAGAGAAACATGGCATGCTAAACTGGAAAACACACTTGCAAGTCTTGCCCAAAAAAAGATAAACAACCTCAGCATTTCTGTATTCTGTCTTTGGTGATGCATTTTAGGGGACAAGTTCTCACCCCTGGACTCTTATCTCTCTCTGCCCTCTTCATCAAGGACAATGTGGGTCACAAATGTCTTGCGCCACTTCTATCACATATTCTACCATGTATGATTAACCACTACTTCCTCTATTATTTTGTCCAGATATGCTTTAATTACCATGCCTGAAATTCTGCATGTGTGCAGCCACAGTACTTATCTGAATGTCACCAAAACTGTATGAATGAAGGAATGAAAATCCCTCTTCCTGGGATTCTCTGCATTGATCTGCTTATTCATAGCAGGCAGAGACCTTTCTACCTTTTGACTGCCATTCAGCTACCTTTTCTTTTTTCCTGTGAAACCTGTTTCCTATCCAAAACTGGAGAAGTCTTGACTACTGAAAAAGAGATTACTTTCTGATTTAATTTCTGAAGCTAATCTAATTCATATTGATTAGACAGCTTAGACAAGTTGGGTAGTAGAAGGCCTAAACGTAAAGATATGGAGGATAAAACAGCCATTGCAAGAGAAAGGGAAAAACCCCTTTCTCTTCTTCTTTCAGTATCAATAAAGTCCAAATTTTTTTTTTTTTTTGCAAATGTTTGTTCACTAAAATGTTCCAAGGGGGAAAATGTCAGCTACAAATCCTCACTCATTGTGTATTTGCACAGCAATGCTTAAAGGTCCTTAAAGATCTCGGAGGATTTGAAAGAAATAATTCAGTCAGGTAGCAAAAACAGTGCCACTGCCTTCCGGTGGCTGGTTACACGGCTCATGGGGCATCTGACAACTCCAGGCGAGTCACAGTGAACTCACTTCACACATCATACAAGGAGAAATGCATTCTACCATCCAAATGCATGAAAGTCTAACTGTTTGAAGCTAATGCATCAAGCAAAAATAGCTGCAATACACAGGACGGACATGCAATACACAGGTGGAAAATGTTTTGCTCATTGCAAAGAGACACGTCTTCTCTGCTTTTCTTACTGATAGCCTGCTCTTGTTCTTGCCAAAACCACCACAGCTTCACTCAGTTTTCTTGGCACTTAAAAAAGTCACAACTTTTCCTTCACATATGCTGGCTGATTCTTTATATACCTGAGTAACAGGTGTGTTGCAGCCCCGTTTTGGATTATTCATCTTGGATGAGGTTAAACCCTGACTGTGTGACACATCACACATTACTCAGTTTACCTCAGTGCTGTGTTTTGATTTTGCTCAGTTAAGTTTACCTAGGACACATTTAGGCTGGAACAGTTCTTAATTACTCCAGCACAGAAACTTGGCATTCTCCTAAATTTGTGCTTTTCAGCAATGAGACTCCTTTCATTCTGCTCTATCTTTAAATTGCCCATGCTTGCCTAAAAGTTGTCTCAATATTATTACCTTACAAAGCAGATAATCAAGATTTACTTGATTTCAGGCATCTCTTCCTTGCTGAAACAATTACTTGCCCCATGCTCTTTCCTGCCCCCGCTTTCCTTTTCCCTGTAGAGAAATACATTTTCACTGCTAATACACACCATAACTGCAATGTACTGCAGAATGGGTATCAGTCCAAAGCCCAGTGAAATCTTGAAAGGTTTCTGAACCACAGAAAAGACAACTACAGTATTACACAGGCAGCCTCTATAAAGGATCTTCATTTAAAGACCTCTTTTTGTGTTATAAATTGGTTTTATTTGTGTAACATTTTCTACCTTCAGATCTTTATAGTCCAATAACTAAGAAAACCAGTTTAAGAAGGAAAATGAGACTACCAAATGTCCTAATTCCTCATGAAACTGGTGTTTTTAAAGGATTAAAAAAATCTGAATTTTAAATTCTAGAAGTGATTAAATACAAGCAGGAACTTAATAAGCTGCTTGTAAGTAACTAACATTCAAAACAGCAGCACTGCAGTTTTTCCAGTCCTAGACACTTTTCTCCCATCCTCCACATCAGATTCACTAAAAATTCAAGATAATGAATACAAGTACCTAGATCTGTAACATACACATCCATAGCAACGCTGAGGATCTCTTATGTTAATTTCTGTGCCCAGAGACTTTTCTGCAACACTGAATTAAAGAAACCACTGTATCATTCCCATAACAAGATGATTATCTAGGAATTAAGACTAAGTAGAAAACTCTTTTCAAAACGTCAGTCTTCCAAGGCTTTTAAAAATCAAACAAAATTACTGATGTCGCTTACATCATCAGTTCTCAAAAGTTACATATCTGCACACATCCTGTTCTAAAAAGAAAGGGCAAAGTAACCATTATGAAAGTCTTCATTTATGATTCCTTGTTAATGCAGTAGATAATCTCCTTGGAATTACTGATTTTTAATGGGACATTTGAAAAGATTTCTTTTACTGTTGTTGCAGGTGAAAAAACCAAGAGGACTACAACATCACTTACCAACAATCCATTAGTGTCACCTCTCAAATTCTTCAGATGCAAAGGTGAGAAATTTTTCCTCCTTAAAGTGTCAAAACATATTTGGATGTCTGCTAAGTGAGGTTTAAATGGTTTAGAGAACAAAACTAGTAAAGGTCCTAAATCTGTTTGACAATTCTCTGTGAGCAATCAACCTTCCCTTCTATTTGCAGAAGTCACAGAGGGAACCAGAGGTGTATTCCTCGAGGAGGAACAACTGTCATCCCTAGAATATGTTCTGCATGTGTCAAAGCATATCAAAGGAGAAAACACACATAGTAGAAAACCAGAGTAGTGAATGCTGTCCCTGCCTCACCACTTTACTAGTATGGAAGCCAATGTTCTCTGTAAAGAAGAGAAGGATAACCTGTGAGTTGAGCCATGACTGATGCAGTGCTGCTGGCAGGCTGCCACAGCGTATGCGGATTTCCCCAGTAAGATGCTCAGAGTAATCACAGAATAATACTGCTACTGTTTGAGGAAGCAGGGAACAAGATTTCTCCAAACTTTCAGGCTTGGAAGAGCTGCTTGCACTACACACAGGATTTTCCCCCAAGAGATGATGTAACAACGAAGATAATTGCTGGTCTGATATCACTGAGGAGAATGCAGACAAAAAGTGGCAATGAGCACTGAGGTGTTACACATACAATAAACTCTGGCATGAATGAATGGAAGGATCAGTTCCAGAATGGGGTTTAACAACCCAATTTTTACCAAAAAATGTTGATTCTACTGTTTGAGAACCATCATGATAGAAGACAGCAGGATCTGTGTGCAGAGCCTTCAATGTCTATGTACTTGTGCTAGACTAATACTATGGTGCACTCCAAGTGACAATAAGAAGCCACCCATACCCGCAATAAACTTGTTTCCCAATTTCCCTGAAAGATATATTCTGTCCTTTACAATGAAAAGTACTCATTATCTTATCCTAACCTGTATTCCTCTTCTGCACACACCATCTTGAGTAAAATGTGTGCTTTTGCATGATTTGCACGTGAGAAAGACTCAAGAATTAATGACTCGAAGCTTTAAGATGCCCATACAAATTTCATTTCCATTTCTGTTTCTTCACATAGCACAAACAGTCTCATATAACACTACACAAAAAGGGTAAAAAGGAAAAAACCCTCAGAAAATAAAAATCCACTGTAATGCCATGAAAACTAGGGCACAGAACAATCAATTCATCTGGCCTGCATCACATACCAAATTCAAAAGAACACCAGAGTTAAATACTTGGATGTAGAAAGCAGAAAATAAAAAATCTATAGGTGTTGGAGAACATCATGAAACATTTTCCTGTTATCTTAAAAAAAGGTTTATTATTTGCCTTTCTACAACACTTTAAAAAGTCTCAAGACAAATTATTTTAAACCTCAGTTTTAGAAAGCTAGATAGCTAAGCTAGATAGCCAGCAGCTTTTTTATTTCTTGATTTGGAAACAGCAAATTGAAAAGCAGTACATATGTAATAGCTGATACTTGCCTGCTTTTCAGGCAACTGTTATTACCAGTTGGATAAATACCCTGTGCACTCCCTGGTCATGTCAGTGCTGCAATACCCATATAATGTTCTGAAACCCGAGAGATTGTTCAACAGCATAGAAATAAGTGTCAGAAAGAAATGAACAAGGTCTTTTTCTTTTCCTCACAGCTGAACACCAACAATAGCATTCTGCAACAAACCATTATTAGTACTGACATTATAGTAAAGGTCTACTAGTGTGCCAAGACTAGAAGAAGAAAGGAAGAGAACAAGGAGACAAACTTCATTCACTTAGCAAAGAGCAGGACTAGAACGTCAGACACGCGCCGGACAGGAGTGTCACGCACTGCCAGATGTATTGAGGAAGGCAGTTGTTCACTGTTGCTGTCAAATCCTGAGCACAAAGCATTGGTGTAGTCTGAATACCAGAACTTCAGTACTAGTGGAAAACTGAAAAATAGGTAGTATTTCTTTTAAATAAAAAGTTTGTTGTTTGTTTGGGGTTTTTTTTGCTTCAGGAAAGTTTTGGAGCCAAAAAATGAAATGTGCAAATATTGTAAGAATCAAGAACTTCTTGGTATACAGAACTAAAATATTCACAAAATATTTATACTATGACCACAGGAAAATGTGTTAAAATTTTCACTTACTTTGGATGGGCAAATTCATCCAGCAGGACAACCTTTTCTATCAAGTCTCCACCAATGGTTCGAACCAAATCATAGAAATCATTCTGAGAGTATGTCTCAGAGGGCAGCCAGAAGGAGATGTCATTGATCAAAGGCGGATATCGGCTGAGTGGCTAAAAGAAATTTAAAAACATACCTTTATACATGGTTGGACTTGATAACTATATCTACAACTGTTCTGAACTTACATAACACACAAAGTACACAGTTTAGAGGCTTTTTGAAATGGTCTTTGAAGGGCAAACTGACCTTATAAATGACTGAGATGGAAGATTTTATACCAGGAAATGTCTTTTGAAGATCCCCTCATAACAACTTTGGTTTTTTCATTCATGAGAAAAATCTTGTTTTTGTTTGCTAAAATCAGAGTTTATGACTGTGAACACACTTTTGCAACAGAGCTGCTTAGAAGGAAGAGATAATGTCAGGTGATTTTTCACTGGGTAGAATTGCACTTTTTAAAAACATTTTCCAGACTTCTTGCATATTCAAAACTTCTTGTCACATTCAGGTATAAAATTTATATGCATACTATAGGACTCTCATATTACACAACATATTTATTATTTTTACTGTCAAATTTTTAACAAAGTCATAAATGGGCAACTTCTTATTAAAATGTTTTAATAAGAAACACACTTTGGCTTAAAAAGAGGGATCAGTTCACTTTCTGGTGGTTTTTGTAGACATTTAACATCTACAACAACACAAATGGTATGGCTGTTAACATAGTTATTCATTCCACAAGTACCACAGTAGGCTTTTAAATGCAAAGGGGAACCTTTGCTGCCCACACAGAGTGGGCAGATAGTGTAACTTGTTATTTGTAAAAATGGGAATAGAAAGAGAAATGAAACCAGATAATTAACTTTTCAGTTTTGATGAAACTTTCCAGGACTCTGTGGGTTTCAGATCTCACCTTTGGTGAGACGTTTCGCCCTTTGAAGAACAGAAAATGGTAACATTCTCCTTTCATGACCTCTAGGTCATACAGTATCTTACTTCTGCCTTGCATTAATTCTCTGCAGTTGACAAAAGTACTTTTGCACAAGATAGTTGGAGTCTGCAGGAGAAAACATCTATTTTATTATTTTCTTTATATATACAAGAGATTCCATGTGTACACCTTGGTCTATACAATATAATATCTCACTCAAAATGTATTCCATGTCTGGAAATGTTTTATGAGGGAGCAGTGGAAACTTAAGTGAGTACCTGCTAAAGCAATAAACCTGTTAATAAGGCAAGTTTATAGCATTCTGATTTACTCAAATACTGTTCTGTAGAGTGTAAACCAGTCAATAAATATCCGATAAGGAATACAGTGCCAGTTTTAAATTAATAACACCCCCAGCAAATAAAATTGTGAATCACAAATGATTATTGAACTTGTTAAAGGAATAAACTTGTCAAATGAATTCATATCCTGTACATCAAATTAAAAAAGGAAACTTGCACAACAAATCCATTGCAAAAGAGCTTTTGATAAAACACTAATGAATGAAATGCAAATGTCTCTGCTCCACAAAAGTCGCAGCTGCAGATGCTGGAGATGCTTCTCAGACAACAACTTGATACATGTGTTAGTGTACATAAAGTTATGATCCTGCAGTAGACCCCTATAGTCTCACCTCATTGCTATCCATCACTTTATTTACCACTGCTGTAGTTCAGGAATATACTGAACACCTTTCAAAGCTTGGTGGGACTAATACAAAACTCACTGCACTCACAGTTCAGGACATTTAATCACTCAACCAGAAGATGTGGCTCATGAGCTTTAGCATGACCAAGGCATCTACTTTCATTCACACAGGTGCAAGGACAATAAAGAAAACTAATTTCATGTCCAGGTAATTCAGAAATGTCCTGTGCTGGTTTGGCAAGAATTCATTTTCTTCACAGGGGCAAGCACGGGGCTGTGTTTTGGATTTGTGCTGAACACATGGTTGGTAATACACAGATACTTTTGTTATTGCTGGGCAGTATTTGCACAGAGCACCTTTCCTGCTTTCCGTATTGCCACACTGGCAAGAAAGCTGGAGAATCTGGGAGGAGACACAGCTGGGACAGGTGACCCCAAATGACCAAAGGGACATTCCAGACCCTACAACATCCTGCTCAGTATATAAAGTGGGAAGAAGGGATATGTGGACTGATGGTGTCTATTTTCCCAGGTAGTCATCACATGTAATGGGGCCCTGCTCCCCAGAGATGGCCTGCCCATGGGAAGCAGGGAATTAATTTCTTGTGTGTGCAGCTTTTTCTCTCCAGTGTCACTAGCATGGATAGAGAATTGTTGTAATTTTGTGTGTGTATGCTTGTGTTACGAAGACTGAAAGGACAAATGCGTAAAACATAACATAAGCGTTACTTTTCATTATTAGCTACTAACCTTTTCTCAGAGCCTTGTAATACAGAAAAATCTTTTATGGTAAAAGGCAAGGCAATAATCCCATATTATATTGTCCCTTCACCACCTGGCTGCAGTCAATATCATTGCAGTAAGTCTTATATCAACAGTAAAGTTAGTATAAGGATAAAATTCCTAGTTCTCAAATGTATCGATCTGTTTGCTGTAGAGCTCCATGAGTCACATCATAGTTTATTAGCTACACCTAAAATGCGAATAGGCCACTAAAGAGTCTCCAATTGGCAAGCCAAAATGAAGTTCCTAAATTTGTATTCAGGCACTCCAGCAAATACATACTGTGGTCCAACAGACCACTTTGCCATTCTTTGATCCTTTCTAAACTCTCCTGCTCTATAACAGCAGACTGGTCCAAAGTCCATTGACTTTGGTCCTTTTTCAAATTCAAGGCAAATGCCAACCCTGGAGACCATTTGTTATGAATTTACAGGCATTTCGAAGGCTCCCCTTGAGAGAAACGTATTCTTCCACTAAATCTTTTACTCTGTTGTTGCCTCCAGCCACCACTTCCAGCTACATTCGCTTCATGGCTCAGGAGTCCTCCAAAACAATGTTTGGAGAAGCCACCAGGACACATCTGCTTCTGCAGGCTGTGTGTTGGCTGAACCCTAGCACACCATCCGAGCCTGGAAGCCCTGCTGTTCCTGCTTCCATGCCCTGATCACTTCCTTAGGTTTTTGAGGAACTGAAAAGAGGTCTAGGAAATGGCAGAACTGATCCCACCTGCAGAGTGCTGCTGCAAGTTGTCAGTAAGCACTGCTGATGCACAGACATCCCTGCACCCCTCCTTTTGGTTCCATCTAAGTTTTGACAACACAGTGCTGCTTTAAACATTCTGTGCACTTTCTGTTTCAAACACTTCAGCACACTACCACTATTTTTCAACAGCCTCAGAAAACAAATGCTTTCCCAGAAATTACACTAAGTATAGGACTCCACTGAACCCATCTTGTAGGAAATCTTGGAAATAATAAATGACATCACATTTTTCAATCACCCAAAGTGAAAGCATTTAGGAGTTCTGAATTACTATAATTTCTTTAAATAATAAAATGGAAGTTTATGGTGATCCACACGTTATATATGATATATATATGTTTCCTAGTCATTAGTCAAAGTTCTTTCTCTGATGTATGCTTCCTAGTCATGTTATATGTTTCCTAGCCATTAGTCAAAGTTCCTTCTCTGACTACTAAATAAGCCAAGTATTTCCTAAAACTGCAAGTTTTTCCCTCTCAGGACGCTAATTTTAGTATAGAAATGGGTAGTTGGACACCAGTGCTATAACCTGCCTTGCCTATTGCCTACACCTACCTGAGGAGTGCACCACTAAAAACACTAAAAGGTTGTTAGCCTTTCATATGGGTTGGTGATAGTTTAGGGCATTCCTCATCTCTACTGCTCTGCTCTGCCTTTTTGAGATTATTGCCCCTGCAGCAGCTGATAAAACAAACCTGTGCCTGTTTCTTCACCACTGCAGCTCATAGCCTGCTGTAGCCAGCTGAAAATTGTCCCTCTCACTGGTTTATGTTAATATGTGTTGGATGAAGAATTGCAGCAGCTCGAGTTATTGGGGGGCAGCTGTCTTAAGCAGCAACAGGATCCATCAGAACTCATTTGTCAACATAAAATAGCAAATAGTTGGGATCTGTGTATGTTGCCACACCAGGCCACTACTCTGGATGCTTTGGCAGCAGGAATCAAGTGGTCACCATAAGAGTGGTATCTGTTCATCCACACATGGCAAAAGATCATCAGCTAGGCTGGATCCAGATACCTCACAGCTGTAAGGGAGAGAAAACTTCTTTCTGAGGGCAGAACCTCACAAGCTGCAGCAAAAACAGCTGGCAATAATGCACAGCCAGGGCCAGTGAATAACCCACACAAGGCCGTGAAGTGTCTTTAGCACAGAGTCCCAAACAACAGGATGGACACCAGCACTTTCCACAAATACTTGTAATTAGGAAGAAAAGCCACTTCCCCCAGATGGGTGCAACAAGGCAAGGGGACAGGGCTGCTCACTCCATTCCTTCCCTGCTGCCAGCTGCAGATGGGACAAAACAAATGAATGAAACACAGCAGAGGAAAAAGCTGTACTTGTATTCTGACAGTGGCAACACAAATGCAAGGTTAACGACGACACGCACCAGAAACTGGGTTAGCAATTCCACAGCAGCCAGGCTATTAAAAAGCCAGCCATGCTTTACTGCCATCACCAGTCTAAGTCAGAAAAATATGAGACTTAGCGGCATCGTGGCTGCTAAGCTTTAACAGTCCTGTCTTGCTCATGTTTTGGAGAAATATCTACATAAACTACACAGTTTTAATGCAACATCATATTCTCATCAAAATGAAAACTACAGTCCTGTAATAACTGAGCTTTTCTTAATATATTCCATGGTGAAACTACATTAATTCAGTGTTATCATAGGAAATTTAAACACGTAACAGGCATGAAATTAAAATTTGCAAATTTACAGCAGTAACTTAACCCCCATGCACATAATGAAGTTTTCTGTATTAGTGTGTATGCTTCTGGATTTACACTTCCGTATTTATGACCAGTGTAGACAAATTACAGTTGCTGCAGGGAACATAACTTCGAATTTCTTGGCTGCCATGGCTTAAAATTTAGTCACAATGTTCCCCATTATTGAAAGTTTTATACTCTCCTAACCAAAT